TTATTTATCGCAAAAGGGCCAACACTGCAATTAACCTGAATACTGAGGTTTTAGTATAGAAAAATCAACTGTTATACCATGCTCAGCTACTGGGGTGACTCGGCTCGCAGGCTGACAGAGAGGGCTCTGAGTGCCCGCTAAAGCACACATGCCATAGATGTGCCACCACTGCCCTAGGAGGAGCCACTTGCCCTGTGACGAAGCAGGAAATATACCTTTGGTCCCAGTGACTCAAGTTTATGGCTGCAACATGCCATCTGGTTTGAGGATGCCTATGTCAGAGTTACCATCACTGCAGTAAGTTGGAGGTTATCTTGGCTTTCGTGTTTTGGGGATCAGGTGTGCAAAATGTGGGGCGTGCCCATGTTAAAGTATGCCATGGCACTTGGAAGTAACACTCATGGTGATGTGGAGGGAGTCTTGCTTTACTGGAACTGAAATCCTGTACATTATTTTGCATAATATACCAAAATGCTGTGCCTTGAGACCCCTGGAACTTGGGGTACCACTAAATTCCTCCTTAAAGCTTTCCCATGGCCACTGCATACAGACATTAAGAATGAGTCTTTTTTTGTCTTTCACTCTAACATGGAGGCATTTTACAGTGTTGAGTGAAGAAAACAATGACATTCAACACATAAAGCAGATGAATACATGCATAAAGACAGCAGCATATTGATTCACCAGACTGTGTCCACACAAATAATGGATGATGGGTCTCCTCTCTCATTCCACATGACGCAGAGCCAGCTGTAATCTGATGCCTCTTCCCAAAACCAGTTTCCGTCACACGAGGACTCCTCCAGCATCTGGAGGGCAGATGTCCAGTGTCCTCTGTTCTCTGCACCCAGCCATGAAAGACTGAACAGGGAACTCCAAGAACAGCTGTCACCCAGCCTCTGCCTCTTGCCCTGTCAGTGCCCCGCGAAGGTCTCTGTGCAGGAGTCCGTGGCTGGAGGAAACCAGGCCTGGCTTCTCTCTCCCTGGGAACGTTGGTCTGTGGTAAGCTGACTGGAAGCTTCAGGCCCAGCTAAAAGGACCAAGTCATCATGCGTGTTTGAGAGCCTCAGCACCACTCTCCTGAAGCTGACTGTGCTTGGGCTTATGAGAGGAGGTCATAAGGGACCAGGCCTGGGAAGGAGGGACAGGTTTTGTTATCAAAGGATAACTTTTGCCCTTGACCACAGACAGGCCAAGGCATGTGTGAAGGCCTCTCCTGCAGGCCCAGGAGAGGAGGTTTCTCTGGTGTGGGGCTCGGCTACAAAAGGGAAAGAAAGTCAGCACTCTTTGGCTGTGTACAGATGCCTAAGGGCAGAAAGTGAGTCCAACACCACACCACAGGATAAGTGTGCAAGTGTCCAGAGAAGCACTGTACACAACCAGCCCAACCTGGGGATGCGCAGATCAATGAGCAGGTTCCCATATCCCAGCCCTTCAACATTTTATTTTGAGACAAGTTCTGGCTAAATTACTAAATTGCCCAAGCTGGCTGAACATGATATTCCTGCCTCAGCCTCCCTGAGTAGCTGGAATTACACATATGTTCCACCATACTCTGCTCAGAACCCTGCAGAGGAGAGCCAGGCATGGTGGCACATGCCTATTCTCCCAGCACTCTTAGTGTTCAGAAGCGATGAGAGTAAGAAGAGAATTGGATAGTGTTGAGGTTGGAGGGATTATTAGAAATTAAACTCCTCCTGGCAAGAATATGCAGTGAGACTCTGGGACAACTCTTGGAGCATGATTGGACTATGGCCCACATATGGTTCTAAAAATGCACTTGTCTTAGAAAACCCTAGATACTGGACCAGAAGGCTCTGTTAGGTTTGTAGAGCGTGCAGACAGGGTTCCAGGCTGAATCAGGGGGTGGGTGTTTGAGCTGGAACCACTCCTGTGATCTCAGATGTCCAGATGAGTAGCGTGCCCGTCCCACTTGTGACATTGGAGGAAATGTATTCATTGGAATGAACTTGCTATTGTTCAGCATTTCTAGATTATCTCCTTGACACCTCCTTCAGTCAATTTAAACCGCACAAACTCCAGAAGTTTCATTTAAAGTTAGGGATATAAATTGGATACATTTCTTTGTGGAACTGTAAAAGTAATGTCTCTCTTATTTAAAAAAAGTTTTTGTCTGTCAGAAACCTCAGAGATAACTGCATTTAAAAATATCACTTAGCTTGCCAGGCATGGTGGCACATGCCTGTAATCCCAGCACTCGGGAGGCTGAGGCAGGAGGATCACTGTGAGTTCGAGACCAGCCTGGACTACACAGTGAGTTCCAGAGCAGTCTGAACTACACAGTGAGACCCTGCCTCAAAAAATAAAACAACAACAACAACAAAAATATTACTTAGCTTAAAAAAATATTACTTAGCTAAGTGTTGTGGTCTATTCCTGTAACTCAGTTACTCAGGGAGGGTAAAGCAGAAGGGTCAAAGTTTAAGGCCAGCCTGGACCATTTAGCCAGACCCTGGTTAAGATAAAAATTAAAAGGCTTAGGGTGTATCCTTGTGGTAGAGCACTTACCTAGCATGCCTCAGTCACTGGGTTCAATCCCTGATACTGCAAAAATAAATTTAAAAATCAAAATATTCCTTGCTATTTATCTTTAATTATGTAGTTCTGCAACCCTAATAAAGCAACTTGAAATATAGACAATATTGCCTAATTTTTTCTTGTTTTGTAATGCTGCCTAAATTTAACAAACTATTTCATCATGTAATTCTTACAATTTTTATACATTGTCAAATTAGCGCCACACCCACTTTAAAATGAAAACAAAAAAAAAATCGTTGACTGTGCTATTAGGCAATCACGTGATTTCTAGTTATACTTCCTTCCAGTCTTTTTTTTAGATTCAATTTTCATTCCGTGTGACAGAGCAACTTTCTTGCTCCTATTTGCTTCCTCTTCCTTTTTGAATATTCGCTTTCCTGTTTCTCTTTTGGCTGCCATCCTGTGCTTCCCTCCGGGGTGTGCAGGGTCCCACACTCTTCCCCCCCGGCAGTTGGACCACTCTGGCTGCGGGCATTGGCCAGTGGTATTGATCAGGTTATTTGTGACCCACGTGGCTTGTCTCACATTTTCCTTTCCTCCTGGACCGGTTAGGGTCTAGAACTGCCACCCCAGAGGCTATTCCAAAACAGCTTGCGGGGTTCTGAAAGCAGCCTCCCGCAGGAAGCTTTAAGAAGTGTCCTAACATCACAGAGATGAAATGGACCACAGCGGAGTAACGGACCCTGGGGCCGGCCTCACCCCTCAGGCCGGTCTCCAGCGGACTCCGGATTCCCGAGACCCGCCGGGCGCGGG